CCCTATTCTACTATCACAGATAGAAGAACCAAGTTTTTAAAAAACATTATGGAGCAGCTGTGTTAAGTAAATAAATACTATATGTATACTGTGTATATTGTGCATGTTTTGTAAAGCACTTTAGAACTTTTGGGATGACAGATACTATAAAAAGCCAACATATATATACACATCATTTGCCTATTGTCTTGCATGCCAGCCCAGAATCATTAGCTGTGAAATCATGTTCACAAACACTGTGATTTAGAGCAAGCAGCTTTAAAAGGAGATTGAGAATTAGAACCCTTATTATAAGAAGAAGAAAAAAGCCTAGAAACAGAAGTTCAGAGAGATTTATGCAAAATTAGAATTATGAGATATTTATGGAACAGAGGCAGAAATGTCCCTAAAGAAAGGCAATTTGGAAGAAAGTAAACGAAGTATGCAGCAGACTTAGAAGAAAAGGGGATGGAAACTGCAAGGAAATAAGATGAAGTATGCTAGGCAAAAACCTGATAGTGGATTGAGCATGAGGGGAACAGGAAAGAGACCAGGAAAAAACTGAGGGTGCAGAAGACCAAGGAGAAAGAGGAACCAATTTCTACTATTCAGTGAAAAGGGCCTTTCACAGGCCAGTGTGCTCTTAGAGAGCTATGATTTTTGTCTTAGATTTCAAGAATTCCAATAGTTCTCTGCAGTTTTGAAAAAGAAAAAAGGTAGCATGATAAATCAGTGCATAGACAAAGAAGTTTTAAATATTATGAAACACAGAGCAAAGAATCCTATACAAAAAGTTGATCAATTATATTCTTAAGATCTGGAAATCTTGGAAATGGAACCCAAATGTTCACCAGAGAACTGGTCTCCCGTCAGAGCAGCACAATGGGTACAATCCCTATTCACTGCAAATCAAGGTTGTGTCAGTGAGGTATTCTGAACATTAAGTTGCTTGGCTATTACCTTGCAGCTGAGGTTTTTTAATAATAAACCAAATTGTAATCAATGGAACTGTTTCCCCATCTTCATCATTCATGGAATAAGCCAAAAGGGAATAAACCCCTCAAAGGCTCTATTAAGATAATAGTGTCTTTTAATTCTTGTGTTTTTAATAAACTGTTAAAATTCTTGTGTTATTAAACTGCCTCCTCGAATTGTACACTTTACTTACCACCTCCTATACAATATAATATCAGATTAGAGATTAGAATGTACTATAGCACAGCTTCAAACAGACTTTCATCAAACTGGTTCCTTTGCAGATATATTGGACCACAATTATCATCCATGATGTGCAGTTATGGGATGTGCAGTCCAATACATGTAAAGACAGGATGGGAAGTCTGATTGAGAAGTAGGCTACGAAGGGTTCAGTGAAGATTACGCTGAAGAAATTGCATCAAATTTCTGCCTTAAAGTGCAAAGACATTTTTAAAACCTATAAATTATGCACATGCAAATACACAAAACATATTCGAAGGAAAGAACACTAAGAGGATGTATAGCCTCTTCTCACTGTACTGCTCCATAGTGTATATGTCACCTCTTACAGCAGTTAAGAAATGCTTTTTAAAAAACACATGAATGGCTTGGTGAAAATACACATATATTATACTTTGAAAGCCTTTAAAAGCTGGTAGAATTCTTAAGCAAAATTAAGATTACAAAGAGAAGAGGGGGGAATTATGATCACACTAGAGAACTCCAAACCGCACATTATATATTTAAATGACATTGAGGCAGTCTTAAATTCAGATTCAAGTTCTTTGCTTGGAAAACAGTAAGTCTGAGAACATTAGAAATTCTCACATGTCTAATGTTTTAAAGCTCTTGTTTCATACATTTTACAGTGGGCTTGTGTTGTGGTTTTCATTTAAAAAGCAGTTTTATGAGAAATATACAAACTACTCAAAGTGGGTTAAAGCTGGAATGGCATATAAGACTGGTTTTAATTAATTAGGAGAATATGCAAATTCATTATATGGGTTTGGCAGCTTTTGTCTTGGAGGTTTCTTTTTAATATGGCATTATAAATAATCAACTTCAAAAGAAATCCACAATTTTTGTTAGACCTATCCTAATTATTCCTTGTGTCCAGAAAGACTCTAAACCCATGTCAGAATTATATTGGTCTCTGACCTGGCCACATGGGTGTTATCTAGGGAAGATATTGCTTCTTTTCCATCATCTTTCAGACCACAAGTCATTAATTCCTCAGGTTCATCTGTATTTTTATCCATCTGTCTAAATTCTAGACACTGATCATCACTTATACTAATATATGTATCCAAAAGCACAATAATCTTGCTTTCAATGATAAAGTTGAATTGCATTGATAAGCTTGCTGTTGTTATATCTGCAGGCTGCCCACCTGTCCTGGACAAGGTCATCAATAGATCCTGTGCAACCATTAGAACAGGGCATCTTATGGGCCAACTTTGTGCTTTTTCTTTTGTTTTGCTCTACACCTCCCAGGATTCTTGCTGAGTATGTTTTTTTGAGGAGCGGAGAGGAAATGACAAAATGTTGCAATTATAAATTGGTGCTACCATTTCAGACTTCATTCGCTTCTTGAAAATAAACCAGGTACCAAAAAAAATGTGTTAGCATGCCATTTTAAACAAAATCCTTCACAGTTCCTGCCAAGATGGGTCTCTGTTTAAGCATGCACATTGCCTTTGGAATGAAAATATAAAATCCCCAAATTACATAATTTTTGGATTAAATGTAATGTAACTTTTCCCTCTACAAATTTGTACTACTTAGTTTCCATTCTACTAACTCACAAGGCTGTGACTTTTATCCATTCACATGTACAATGGAGGAAAACTATTATAAGGGAAGCAAAGCCTTCTTTGAGTGTTCTTGACACCTGAGATGTCACTTAGACATTACCAACAGAGACAAAAAAAGAACACCAATGTACATGACCTTTACATGTGCTTATATGTATTTTATGTACCTGTACAAATGTAGAAATCATCATAATTTAAAAACAACTACATAATCTCAGCATAGGAGGGAAGACTGATAAGAGACTTGTGCCTGCACAGTCTTTTGGGCAGGTGCTAATGGGCAACTTCAAGACCTTGGGCTATCCCTTCTTTGGGTTATCTATGTTTAAATTGGATTTGGAGATAGCTCTTTTTACAGAGGATGTCTTCAAATGCAGGACTGCTATCTGTAAAATAGGACATACACTTCCCACATCCAACCTCAGTCATTCTACTCTTACTAACACGGCAAATATGAGATACCTACAATAAAAATTGCCACCAGCTAACAGCAAGAACTGTGAAATGCTGTGACAATAAACATAATTTAAAGGGGGAGGTGTGCCAGCTTGTGCTTAGACATTTCTATCCCTCCTAGGTGCAGAAAACATTGAAAATATAATTGAATAGAAGTTTCAGGCTTTATATGAATAAAACAGATAATTTTTAAAAACTCAACATAAAATAAAAAGTTTAAGTCAGTTCTGATTTCGGAGCCCAGTTCAAGTTCCTGATGAGTTGCAACATTACAGGGACAAGTTTTAATTATACTGAGTTCATAATACAAATACCAGTAACTCCAGAAAATTCCACAGAACTTCTCTATTATAATAGAAGTTCCAATATGTTAAATTGCTCAATTCTTGATTTTTGTTATAGAATTAGTCTCTCTCTTGCTTAATTGAAAGTTTGTATCACTGAGATGCTTGAACATTATAAATATTTATTTTAACGCAGGTTCTGACCAATGGATGCTGAAGAACCACAATTCAAAAGAAATTTACTTTAGCTAAAAGCAGGTGGTGTTCTAACAAAGTTCTGCTTTTTTATATTGTCCTAAAAAACTGACTGATGTTCTTCTTTATAAAGTATTGAAAAAAGAAAAAAAAAACCTTCTGTTACCTTTCAAGTTACATATAATTAGAATCTTCATAAATCAGCTAGTTCCTTCTTAGCACACTAGCATAGAATAATTTTAACCCCAAGAATGCACTAAGCCAGGCCAGGAAACTGGCAGGCAAATGGCTCCTAAAGATAAGGTACCTTCATAGCATTCGGTACATGGATCAAGATAAAAACCATTGCTATGTGTCATGTCTATTATATCTTCATGCCTGAAAGGGTGAGCTGGGGATGTAGAAATGCAGCTCAAGCTATACAGTGTGAGTTGTAAAGTAAAGGCAAACTCAGAGGGAAGCAAGATGAGCAATTTGTTTGTGATACGGAAATTGTAGTAAAAAGACTGTGATTTTGACATTGTAATTTTTAAAATATGTATCTGTGAATCCTTCTTAGCAGCTGACTCAGATTTCTCATGCATGTTTACCTAAATTAACAACAGAGTAAAATACGAAAAGAAGGCCTCAACATCAGCACAGATCAGCACAAAAATCTACAGAGATTTTATCATAGTGTAGCTCTCTCTCTCGTGTCTGCATTGTCTCTCCCCTCAAGCCTTATTATCTTTGCCCTATTCACTGTTACAGCCTAACACTTGCTACCCCTCTGTTCCAGACCATCCCCTTGGAGTACTGTTATCAGCCTTTAATAAGCTACACACCATACTAGCTGTATTCTGGAATCATGGTAAGCCTCTGAACCATGTACTGAGAATTAGAGAGAGACAGGTGTTCTGAGTCCTTTTCTCTGGCAGGGGATTTAGACATTTACAATACCTTCTAGGCCAAAGTCGACTGGGATTCAATATTGCATTAAATGGTGACAAATGGGGCAGGTGGGCTCTATTATTGCATTACAAAGGCTGCTGCTTCCCCCAGTACAGGCTATGTTTTGTGTGTGAAGCGGGCCCACACCTGCTGGAGCTGGGATCTGGAAATGCGGAGGACAGAAGGCATAAGTCTGTGGTTTCCTGCTGTGAGGGGCATGTGCCTGCGGTGGGGCATGCGCACGGGGCTGCTCTCCGCCGAACGGCTGCGCTGTATGAAAGTGCCGCCAAGGTGAGGGTACTGTTCTGTCTCCAGGGTTGAGGAGGAGAAAACGGAGGACGCCAGTCTTCTTAGGGGGCTGTACCTCGGGAGAGAGTGTTGAGAATGCCTGTCCTCCTCCAACTGCAAAAGACCAAGAAGAGTGGAGGAAAAGGTGTCAGGCAAAGACTTGACTCGCCCCTGGTTTGTGCTGTGCATGCTGCAGAAATCTTCACTGGCGGATGGCAAACACTTCTGTTTTACAGGGACTTAACATAGCCTCCTGGTTCACCCACTTCTAGGCTAATCTCATACTGTTACATGAAGAGGCCCTTTAGAAGTAAGAGGTACACCTAAGCCTTACCAGTGCACTTTCACAGATCCATACTTTCTCTATTAAAGTTTTTTCAATCAAATAATGAACAAGGGATAACAGTTCTGAACTTAATTTTGTTTGCCTCCTCACTTTTCTATTAATCCCCACACACCCTCTTCCAAGTTGGAAAAACTAGTTGCTTGGATATAAATCTATATTTTTTCTACTGCATTTTTAAAACTAAAAGTCACATTAAGTAAGAAGCTTTTTTAAAAAAACAAACAAACAATGATGGTCTATCTCAAGCCTATCTTGCTGTAGGAAAGCCACCTACAGTATCTTGACTGGCAGCTACGTAGAGATGCAAAACATACAAGCTGTGAACTCTAGAAAGTTATAGTAATAGGCACAGCATGAGTTGTTGGGGGATCTATCTATCATGCATGAATAAGATTCCTCCTGCAAGTTTTATTGGAATGGTAGGAAGAATGAAAACAGAGTTCCAAATAACGCGAAAGGAACTGATACTACCCCTAAAGAAAGCTGGCCAGCATTTCTTTCCTAATTTGTTAGGCACCTTAGACTTCCACTATATTCTCTTCTCAAATACACGCACACAAGCTATACTATTTATAAAAAATTCACACATACTCCTTTCAATCTCTCTGCTGAAATTACAACAGGCCTCTAACCCTTGAACTGTCTCAATAGACTAATTTGAAGTTAAGCTGAACATTAAGTAATAATAAAAGAGAAAGAAATACTATGGCACTGCACTCCTTAAAGTGAGCAAGTATAAAATCATTATATTAAGTATTTCTCAGAATTAAGTATACAAAAATTCCATTCTTTGAGCTAACAGAGGAAAGCTATAGCAAATACAGAGACCAGATGTAAAATGCTTCTGTTTTCTTCCTTCAAAATAGTGCAGTGTACAGGTAGTCCTTGCTTAACAACCACAATTGGGACTGGAATCTCAGCCATTGAGCAAAGCAATCATTAAGCAAGACGTCCATGTGACTGCTTCGCTTAGCGACTGCAATCCGGGCACTCCTTGTTGTGGTCATTAAGCAATCTCCTGAGTTGTTAAACAGATGGAGCAAGAGCTGTTTGCTGAAGGATTTCAGCTCAGCACAGAGCTGAAATCCTTCCAGCAGGCAGCTCTTTGAGAGCAAAAGGGCTGCCTGCCGGATGG